TTTTTTTTTATATATTTTTTGAGTTTCGGCGTGAAAGACTAGAAATTTAAAATAATAATTTTATTAATTATTAGAGGTGAAGATAAAAAAACTTCCGACATATAAAAAATAATTTTAAAAAAAAAAATGTCCGGGACGCACAAAATGTTCTGGATCATTTCTGAATTTAGAAGGACGTGTCCGCATGACAATTAACATGACAGACAATATATCAGACGCGGACAACGGACATGGGATGTGGACAACATTGTTTCATGCAAAACCCGCGGACATCATCCGTGTACAACACTGCCTTAAGGTAAGTCTGCAGTAATACATCTAAGATTTATTATAATTCAACAATCTCTTTCTTGAACATTCATTAATATTTTATTTTCTAATTATTTTATATCTTTAATAAAAGGATGAATAAAATCTTTAAAACAATCGCTAAATAGAACAAAGCCTAAACAAAATGATTATGAAGATATTTTCTTAAATCAAATAGTATATTTCCTAATTGGATATATACTCCTTCTAGTAAATGATAAATGTTTTGATAAGTTCTGAAATTATCATAATAAATATTAATAAATATCTTTAAAACTCAGAGATTTTTGTATTGTGATGGTGGTAAATTTAGAGTAAAATATTCGCATAGATGCATATAGTCTAGTGTTATTTCTCGTAATTTTCAATAGCCATTATTTTTATATAAAACTTCTTTAATAAATATATTATCAGTAATAATAGTTAAATTACAAATAATTGTAATATTAACCTTTTTAACAATCTCATTAGCATTTATAATAATACTACCTCTTCCAAATACTGATCTACTAACTATAATTGCAATTGGCATATAATTGATCATGTATTACAGTAAAATAATTTGGTAATTTATTATAAGTATAAATTCATTGTAATTTTATTTAAAGTTTATTATTAATAGATATTATTGATCATATTCGTCCAAATCTTTGAATTCTATTTTCTTTATATATAATAAATTCACTTGGATGATAAATTTCTAAGTAAATAGTTTTATAAATAAACAATATGTATATATTCTTTTATTAATAGCAATAAATTAATAATTATGAATCAAAATACCTTTATTGATACTTATTTTGTCTTGTCTGAATAATGGCGATTCAGCCCAAAGATCCCTATGCCAGAATTCTTTTTTTTCTTCAACTTCTACTCCCAGTCTAAAGTATAATGTGTTATATAGTAATGGATTATTTAATATATTCTAAAGAATATCATGAATTGATAAAAAATAACATATTTTAATTTTTTTAGATGTAGATAGTGTTTTTTTTTAATTTATTTTAATAGAACGTGCCTTATTGGCATTAATAGCAATCGACATCTCCATTGCCAAAATCTTCTTACATTCTTTATAACTTCTTTTACATTAAATTCAAGACATTATAATATATCCACTAAATCATTATATGCATTTATCATTATATTTTAATATACAGTAAATAATTATATGCTTATAGATTATTGCATGTATTTATTATTAAACAATATAATAAAAAATGAACTTATAAATATTATGTTTTTATATTTAACAGAAAAATAATGCGAAAGTTACATTATCAAAATAAGGAGCAAAATGTCTATTTATATTCAGTAATTGATTACTACTCATTAATGAATCAGCTATTGCATCTTTCTTATACTTTATTTATTTTAAATGAAAAAATTTTATTAAAAATACAATATATTTATAAATCAGAAAAAGCATAGATTACACTATCGTCACTGTCAAGATCTTTCAAATCATAATCTTCTTCTACTGCATTCTCATTCACATTTCTACCATCATCATTATTGTAATAATTATTGTTTTCATTTACATTTCTACTATCATTATCATTATAATAATTATTATCATCACAGTAATCATTATAGTAATTATCTTCCTTATTATTATCACTAACTTCTATTTCATTTCGCAATTCAATTTTATTACTACTTTTAGTTTCATTATCACTTTTGAGTTCTATTTCATCTTGCAATTCAGGTTTATTATTTTCTTTAGAACCTATTCTTAACGCTAAATAAATGTTAAATAGAATTTATTTCAGAATATTAATAATTAATATATAGGTAGTCTTGATAAACCAGATTCAAAGAAAAATCTATTACATTATTATCAGTATTGTATTTTAGACATTAGTTATCAAGAGTTAGTTATATCATGTTTATCAAAGATTTAGATTATTGAAACTGCTTGTATTACTTAATAATTAATTATAATATTTACATTTATGCTTTTGAAGAAGATTTTGACTAAAAAAGTTAGTACTTTAGCGTAAAGATAGTGGTTTTATTAATGAAATATGATACATTTTCAAATTTTCAAAAAAAAACTAAAGTTTATTTATAATTATTATTGTTATTTACGAAAAATTATGCCACAAAAATATAGTTTATTTATTTATTTAGCTTTATATATAAAGTTTCATTAGATTTTATTATTTACATAATGATTGCTATTATTATATTAATTGATCAGCTATGTTTTTTTTATTTTAATTAATTTAATTAAAAATATTAGTATTACATAAATAAAAGCCATATTTTTTCATGAATATTTTTAAAAATGATTATTTTACATTTTTTGCTTAGTTGAATTAGCCATTTATAGACATTAATTAATGAAGTACTAAAAATAGGTACATCATTTCACATGAAACTGCAGTCAACTTATAGTACAATAAATTCAAAAAAAATAGACTTTTTAGCATATTTGTTATTGTTTTTTTTATAAATTTTATTTTTGTAAAATATGCTAAAATAAAATACTAAAATATACAGATACTTAAAAATATCACTAAATGTCTTAATAAAATGATTTTAATATATTGCTTTTTAATTTGTAAAATAGCATTAAAACAATTAATTAAAAATTCAGTCTAGTTATAAAAAACACTCTGTTGCCTATTATTATTAAAAATAGATTATGCTATATTATATTCACTAGTAGTTAATTCATTGACTACTTGAATTAAATCCTTTATATCATCTACTTCTGAATATCATAACTTTAATTTAAATAAACTAAAAAATCTATAAGACGTAAATTTGGTATGTCTTACTATCATAAATGAGTATATGATTTTATTATGCAAATTATTGACAATGCATCATACTAGATACATAATTATTGCATTATTCTTATTCTGTTCTAAACATTATCTGCATGAATTATTACCTTTTTTCACCTAATATATGCTTTTCAAAATAACAATGAATTAATAAAATTATTGTATTAGCATTTTTTTCAACATTTTCTTCTTCTGGAATCAAATAATTTATCTAATATAAAAAATAAATTAACATAAAATAAAAAAATAAACTATATTAATATAATAAATTATTTACTTGTCTTGAAGTTTCATTTTTACAAACATCAAAAATTTGTATTTTATAAAGACTTTTAAAATAAATTGCTTTCTATTTAAATAATAAACCTAATTAAACTTTATAAAATAAAAAATTATATATTTAATTTAATTAATACCTCTTGCTGTGAAGAATATGGGATTTTAACAGCTTTTATAAAATCAGGATATGTGATTTTTAAAATCTTGAGAATTAGGTATATCTGATCATAAAGCATTTTAAATTCTTTTAATACTTCTTTAGAATTTGCTACACAATTTCTATATAAAGATAAAAAATTTAGTAAACTAAATAAGTAAAATAAAAGATTTTAAATAAAATTTACCTAAAATTCTCTCTTTCTAATTAATCCCAAAGAATATATCTATTCCATTCTTCTATTTTTTTGTTCTATTTCTGATGCTGATCACATTTGAGAATTAAACTACATCAATTTACACTTATAATATAAGTCACTGTGAGATGTTAAAAATTTTATATCTGATATATATTTTTGCCATACTTGACAAAATATTCGAACACTTATAATTAAAGATTCATTATCATCAATATTATTTTCTATTGTATCATTATATAATCTCTAAAGCAATAAATAACTTTTACTTACTGGTAAATATATAATTGCAATTATTTTTTCTCAAAAATAATGGTCTATTTAAAAAATATTAATAAATTTTATTAATCAAATAAAGAATTATTTTACTAATAATTAAAAATTATTAAAAATTTAATAAAAAAATACCTGGTGATGGAAGTCCATGAATATTTGCATAATTATTTATAAATGTTAAAATTGTAAAATAGTTTCAAAAAATACTGTATTATTACTTTTTCTATCAATCAAACCATGTATAATTAAACCAATATCATGATCAATATAATATTTACGTATTGTTTCCCATTTTTTTTTATTAACAATAATAACAGAGCTAACAGATATACTAATTATGTTAAATATGATATAAATGATAATAATGACAGATATAATAAAGATATAATAAATGATATTCATGTCCTATTTGGCAGATATTGCATATTTGGCAGATCTGACATATTTGGTAGATCTGGCATATTTGGCATATATGTCATATTCAACAGATCTGTCAGTTTCTGCCAGTTTCATCGTAATTCTTTTTCACTACTATAATTGCCTGATGAATTATTTCTCTTAACTTATCTTTTGGATATCACGCATCATCTTC